TTCTCCATGTTGGTCAGGCTGGTCTCGAACTCCTGACTTCAGGTGATCCGCCCACCTGGGCCTCCCAAAGTGCTGGGATTACAGGCGTGAGCCACCTCACCTGGCTCTAAAAGGAAATGTTCAAAAGAGAAGAAACGGCAACTTACAGACAGGTCATGAGATAACTGATGGAGTAAAATCTCTAGAAAGGCAGGAATGGAAAGAATGCGGAGCACAGGTGCAGTATGGCCACTTTAAGGATACTGATTCTTCCCACCCATGAGCACGGAATGTTTTTCTATTTGTTTATGTCATCTGTGATTTCTTTTAGCCATGTTTCGTAGTTCTCCTTGAAAAGATCTTTCACCTTCTTGGTTAAATGTATTCCTAGATATTTTTCTCTTTGTGTGCCTATTGTAATTGGGATTGTGTTCTTGATTTTCTCTCAGCTTGAACATTACTGGTGTACAGAAATGCTACTGACTTTTATACATTGGTTTTGTATCCTAAAACTTCACTGAAGTCATTTATCAGTCCCAGGAGCCTTTTGACAGAGTCTTTAGGGTTTTCTAAGCATAGAATTAAGTTTTATTTTCCACATTTCAGTGTCAAAAGCTGAAGGGTTCCATCTCAGCTGGCTGACCTGAACAACATTATAATAACATTTACACAATGAAAATGAACATTAATAGTCAAAAGCACAATGTCAATATAAAATTGAGTTGAGTCTGATGCTCCTTCTTGGAGAGCTGACATGAATCAACTGCCTTTTTTATTATATTGAAAACTATTTTCAATTATAACAATGCTTATTTCATCTGAAAATATAAATTCAAGTTAGAGTAACACTGTGATCTTGATCACAAGTATCTTCTTTAGTTATTAGGGCAAATCAGACGTAATAATTGGTGAGCTCAATTCTCCTCCTCATTCAGGGTTGAATGAGGTCTCATCTCACACATGGAATGCCCAATAAATTCATTACTTGTGCATTCCATGGGCAATTAACATTCTACCTCAGACTGTTGCATATCATATGCCAATTAGCCGGCAAGACCCTAAGACACCATGTCATACGTTCTTTAGTGTTTTGGCCAGTCTTACATGGCATTTGCACATATGGAGTCTTAAACATGTGAGCAGCTTGAGTGTTAGATTATGACTGGAGAGAAAGGCAGTCCAACATATCAAACACGTCTGTTTTCTCACACACTAATGCTTTCCTGTTCCTTTCAGAGATGACGAACATTAGACTTCAAAAGCTTGAGAAAGTCCTTAGCCAAAGAATCATCAAAAGGTGCATTACCTGCTCACCACCCACCTCCCTCAACAGAGTCTCTCTGACTCTTCTCTCTGACTCTCTCCACCCTCCCAAGGGGGCCCACTCCTGTCTGTATGTCCCACCACGTTGTGCCCCTCCCACTTACTGCCTTCCAGCACCTCTTTTGTCATCTCTCTGTAAAGTCAAGGGGGAAAGCCACATGACCCAGAGCATATGATTACACCGTTCCCAATGCCATCATGAGGATTTATTTCAGGAACAGGAATCCCACGTTTGCCCTTTTGGCCTTTTTTTTAGTTAACACCAGGTCATGACGGAAAATCTGAGGGAGAAATTCTCAGTCCTGCAGGTGTTCTTGCACTGGCTGATGGGGATTAAAGGATCTTAGAGGAGAAGCTCTGAGAATAACATGACTACACTGACAGGCTGAAAGGTGGGGCAACACAGGAGCTGGACAGAGAATCTAGCACTTGGCTGCCATCAGTCAAAACTTTCTTTGCTCTGAAAATTAGTCCACACTTCACCTCTAACACCCAAACATCTGATTTAATCCTGGCAGTGGAGGGGGTGTAAGAGAGGACCCCTGCCCTAGTACCCTGATCCGAGGACATGGCACAGGTGTGACTCCTTAGCCACAACAGCCACCAGGGCGCAAACCTCACCTATGTTCTTTGGCTCAACCTCAAATCCTGGACCTCGACCCCGCTACCTCTGCCCTTGCGTGTCACAGCGCCTGACAGTTCTCAGGCAGCTCCTGTTTCGGCCCACTCTGTTCTGCCCTCCCAACCTGCAGTGGGCCCGTGGCAAGGGCAGGGAGGGGCAGGGGGGAAAGGGCAAGGTGACTGTGAGCTACGCCGAACTGCCCTGGTCCAAGCCAACCACCTTCAGAGATCTTTACACTCAGAAGCGAGAAGAGTTTCCATAGAAGTCACTCAATAGCAACTGATCATCTGAGCACACACAACACAGCAGGCACTGCCGGGATACATGAAGGAAAATCCCTTACCTTACTGAGCTTGCACCTTTGGATGGAAGAAACCCCCTCTGTCTTATCAGGTGAAAGCAACGTGGGGAAACATGGACCTGACTCCTAGACAGAAAACGCACGGTTCTTAAACCTTCTGTGGTAGTGGGCCTCAAACCTGCACAAAGAATGCAGGAGGTTCTCAAGCTACACATTTCCAGGCCCATCTCCTGAGGGTCTGATTTAGTAGGTCTCAGGAAGACCCACGCTGTGCTCTCCAAAGCTCACAAAAGTAGATGGTGCGAAGGCTGGGTTAAGAACACTGCTCTAGATGTTCTCATTTTCTATGGTATGACCTTCATAGTGTTTGTTAGTGAAGCATACCGCCTAGACAACAAAAGGACACGCATCATTTCTTGAACATGAGGGGTCTGCACTTGGTTTCCCTTTCTTTTCATCTTCGTTGTACCTCTTCTTCCCTGTTGCATGTCATGTTCAGGATTCCAAATGCTGGCCCTTTCACATGCTAACAAATACTAGATGTAACTCAACAGATGTCATGAATAGTAAACCAAATAAAAGGCTGTAGCTTCCTGCTGTAAAGAAATGGGCTGGGCATGGTGGCTTACACCTGTAATCCCCAGCACTTTGGGAGGCCGAGGAAGGGGGATCATGAGGTCAGGAGATCGAGACCATCCTGGCCAACACCGTGAAACCCCATCTCTACTAAAAATACAAAAATTAGCTGGGCGTGGTGGCACGGGCCTGTAATCCCAGCTTCTCAAGAGGCTGAGGCAGGAGAATCGCTTGAACCAGGGAGTCAGAGGTTGCCGTGAGCCAAGATCACACCACTGCACTCCAGCCTGGCGATAGAGCCAGACTCCGTCTCAAAAGAAAAAAGAAAAAAAAAAAAA